GCCTGCAGCTCCCGCTCCCACTGTACCCGGCACACACAGAGACCAAGCAGGAGCCCCCTGGGCCTGGCGTCCTGCTCCAGCCAGGCAGTGTCCCTTTGTGGGCAGGGTGGCTGCGCCCCATCCCCGCTGAGCTGTGCAGACCACCTGGGCCCCACCTCCGGTGCTGCTGGGCCCCCCGCTGTGGCCCGAGTAGTGGAGCCCTGGGGCAGGGGCAGCCCCCGCTCCCCACCTGACACCAACTCTGTATTCACTATAAAAAAAATAAACATAAAATAAAAGTCATTAGTGTTGTTGCTTTTTGTTTTTTTTATTAATAGTATTAAATATGCAGTGCATCCTGCCATGTACCCCTTCTGCCCCAGTTTTGTTTTTGTGGTGTGCCAGCACTCCAGCACCTTACAAGGTAGACATTGTGGTTTTTTCAGTACTCTGGCCAAAAAAAAAAAAACACACACACACACAACACAACATTGCCTACCCCTGCTATAAGGTCCGGTCCCTCCATCCCAGTTGCCACATTTGAGATCAGGAAGGAGTTTTACCTCATGGGCATATCTGTACAGACTGGGGGGAGAAGGGGGGTTGCCATCTGCTGTAGCACAGGGGAGGCAAGGGACATGGTATAGCCCTCTGCCTTGGATCTTGAGTTTATTTTGACAACATTTGTAGCAGCAGGACACCAATTGCCTTTGCCCCCCTACTTTACATGTGGCAGGTTAGGTTATGTGAGAGGGCTGAGTTTTAGTAATAGGTTAGAGACAGACTCATGTAGGGTGGTCTGGATAGGTTTGGTATAGCAGGTTTCAGGGTTAATGCTGAACTCAATTAGTCCTTAAACATGATACAGCCTGTACTCCCAGGGCATGCCTGTGCAACAGGCACCCTCCTATAATCAGCCAGTCCTTAAACTTTAACCCAAACAGCCCGTAAAGGTGTAACTCACAGGTCTGGGTCCTTCTCAACCCCTGAAAAGGTGCCTCCAACTTGCTGCTGCTCCCTCCTTGCTGCAATCACTTCTCTCAGACTGTTTGTGACTCAGCTCCCTGTAGTGCTGTTGCTCCCAGTCTTGCAGCACCTGTATCTCTAAGAGTCCCTTATGTAGTATTGCATCCATTGGCCAGGGCAAGCCAGGCCATACTCATTCTCTCTCTTCTTCTATTCACCCATCTTCCTGGTTTCTTTTCTCTGGGAGGTTTTTACTTCCTGTGGCCTCATATTATCTCCTTCAGCTGGCCCAGTTTCCCTGAGCAGCCTGTAATTAGCATTATTTCTCACAGCTGGGCTGCAGCCTCTGGTTCTGCAGTCTGCTACAGCCTGCCACATTTGGATAGGGGTTATCTGGCTTCCTACAAGTGGTGGAACTAGATGACTTCCAAAGATGCCTTCTAGCCCTACAATTCTATGACCTTAGGACCAAACCACACAGCAGAGGGAAATGGCCAGAGAGCAGTTCAGGAGCGAAGTGCTGGAGCTGGAGAGGTGTCTTGCCACCAACCCAGACATCGCTCCCTGCAGAGGCATAGGTTGGGAGAAACCGCAAAAAGAGGTCTGAGCTCTGGACAACTACTGCATCTGCAGCATGTTTATCCAGTTACAAGTCTATCTTCTCTGGGAGATGGACCAAGGCTCCTGCTTCTGTGCCCTGGGGAAGACAAGGGGTGCTAAGAATTATGCTTATAATCCAAGTTTCTTGATTATCAGACCAAATCACAAGGTACAGCATATAATCACAAATACAATATTTAGTATTACCACAAGATGGCACTTCTGAGCACATTTAAAGGGTTTTTTTCCCTTCTATCTTACTATACATCCATGAAGATCTTCAGGAGAGCTGAGTTTGTTTGTTTGTTTTATTATTTATTTAATGGTTATTTCAGCTTCTAAGTGGTCCTAGAAATAATTATATTCCAATTACTATTTCTATGAAGAGTTGCTTTTTCATATTCATAAATTCCTTATGTTTTAACTAAAACTCCTTAGAGCAGTAAGAAAGATTTCAAGTGTCGTGCATTCCTTCTAAAACCTGTAATCAGCCCATTAGTGTAACTATTCTTAATGTCAGTATCCTTAAATTAATGGGACTAGGTTTTACAAATGCATATTTATTAAATTAACAAAAACAGCATTTTTAAAATAGCAAAACTGTAATACTTATTGCATTTACTTAGTAAAGCAGTATATAATATGTATACATAACTTGCTATATGTTCTTATATATATGAACATATGTATGTTCATATTACTAGGTCTTTTTTTAAAAAAAAGATGGGATATTACATGTTTAAAACCTAGTCCCATTAAATTAAGGATATTGACACTGATGTACTGATTTCAAGGTTTAGAAGGCTTTAAGTGTGTGTGTGTGGAGAGGGAGAAAAATGAATATTTATATTCATTTTATTATATATTCATTTTACTATACATGGATTTTTATCCATAATCTAAGACTTTTGGATGTTGATGCAGGATTGGGATTAGTGATTTGTTTGAAGCTTCCTCTTTTTTTTTTTTTAGCTTCTACTCAGAGCCTTAGCAGCCCTAGCATCTCTCCATCTTCTAGCTAAAACAGCAGCTGCATATATTAAGTTGGGATGCTTGACATTACTGAAAAACAAGATGGAGTAACTGAACGTCCAAGTTATCCTGTCAAAATATAAAGGACAAAAACAAATAAATGAACCTTGATGTTTGGGTTCTATCCAAGCTTGTTATGGAACAGGCAATTTTGTTTGCATTGACTATTATTTGGAGGCAGGTACGGGGTGGAAGGTACTCAGAGTACACTGAACATGTTCAAGCGCTAAATATTGCGCCTTCTGAGCCTCCACAATCCGACCACTTGCTCTTGCCATGCTGTTTCTTTTTCCAGTCCACCCCTTCCTGCTCTGACACCATTACCAGAGATGTGCAATTCAAATGGCTAAAGCTAAATTAACCTTCAGCCCAACGTAGGTTCTTTCATTTGAGCGCCTTCCACCCCACATTGTGAAGCAGGAAGAGATTTCTAGCAAATAAATCTAACTGCTTCTTAGAACAAAGGGATGTTGCCAGCCTCAGGCATTCGTAAGGGTCACAGGCCAAGCTGCTGAAGTTTGGCTAAAGCAGAAGGTGCCCAAACCTGTTTCTGAGTGATTGTAGAGTGAACCTTTGCTGATGTGACAACCAGCCTGGTCAGCAAAGGAAGGACGCAATTAACATGTACAACTAAACCAGTAATGAGATCAAATTAAAATGGAGGACAAGAAGTGAAAGGAGATATTACAAAAGAAGGCACTCAGATAATCCAAATATGCTATCACACAGCTTTAACTTAAAAATAGTAGTAGTAGTGATTTAAGGTAACAAAACGTATTAGATGTAGTTTTGGTATAATACATATATTTATAGGAGGTTTCTTAGATAAGGATGTACAAAACAAACGTGCAGCCAGTCCTAATGGAATAATAATATGTGCAGTTTGGACCTAATCAGGAGGAAAACAAGGAGATATAGTAAATGACTTGGAGAAAGTTCTAATAAATACTAGAAAATTAGACCTTTATGGTACACAAAAGATGCATACAATGAACATCAATAAATGACAATAGTTACTGCAATTGATGTTTTCCCAATGGAGTGTGCCTAGTGGCCAGCTTTATTTTGGTTAGACCTCTTCAGGAGTTGAGGATGGAGAACTAAGCTCTGAAATTCTGGGCCTTGCTGCAATCTAGAAGGTTAGATTGTCTATGTCTGAGTCTGGCAAAAATCTTGTTGGGGCCTGAGGTCCATTTCACTGCAAGATTGCCAGTTCATCAGACTGTGTAGTGGAAAGGAAGCTGAAGAGCCAGTAGGCAGCTTGCTAGTCTCTAGAACTCAAGGTCCTGGGTTTGAGTGCCTTGGCAATGGGCCCCTTTGGCTGCTCATGGGTACTTTGGTGGTGGTGGCTGCCATTCCTCTGGTCACACCACCATGAGCAGTCCAAGCTTCTTGGTGCTGTGTAACTTAGGGGCTTTCATTCCACTCATTCAATTATATTGCTACATAAATAAAGAAATTATCCATTTACACTAAGCTCTCTAAATAGCTGAAGATAATTATTTTTCTTATAATTACCCCTCCCTCCCTTATGTGCTGTGCATGGGACATCAGCAGTACTTCTACAACTGTTACTTCTCTGGTGTCCTGTTCCTCTGAGATATTTCTTCCTTGCCCAAATGCCAGGGGGGGAAGAGAAATCCTAGTGCAGCAGGCACTGGTGATATTTTGCTGTTTGGTCAGGAGGCACAGACCTGATATTGATAAGAATGGAACAGCTGCCTGTACTATTGGAAGAGCTCCTCCTGCAGGCACCCAAATCCTGTGGCTCATGACCCACACATAGAAGGCAAGGTAGATTTGTACCCTACAAACTAATCAAAGTAGATATAGATAGATAGATCTATATGGGTATAAATATATAGCACAAGCTTTTGTGAGCTGTAGCTCACTTCATCAGATGCTGTCATAACCCACATGCTAGAGTGAACATTGTAGTTTCCTGGGTCAGGAAGCTGCCACCCATTTTTCTCCCATTCTTACCACCAAGACTATACTTCATACCTCCTCATGCTGCCCCAGTTTTCCACCACTCTGGCATCCCCAGTTCCCTTGTGTTAAAGTCATATTGCATGCTTCAGTTTCCCTGAGTAGCCTATACACAGGGAAAGAAGAGGCTGATTGTGTTTGAAGGCCAACTTGTGGGCATCAGCCAAAGTGTTCTACTGATGGTGAATAGACCATGAAGATGACAATGGACAGATTTGCATGGCTCATTGGATTCAGACACTCAGTGCCTGAAGATTACCTGCTGTTTCTAGTACCAAGGAGGAACTTGAAAGGCCCTGTGCAATGAGACCATTTGGAAAACCAGAAACTGAGACACAAAGGTGGGTGACAGAGAAAGAGGCAGGAGGAGAGGAGCCTAAAAGTCTTGAGGAAGAATAGCTATGGTCAGGTACCAGAGCATTTGACTGCTGCAGATTTAGAGTTACCAGAGCATCTACCTGCCGTATTGACATTGACTCATAAATGTTGCTTTTGTTAAAGAAAATCTACCTACTTTGCTACACATGACTTTGGTATATTTTGCCCTTTTGAAAAGGTAAAGTCTGTCTCCAGGAGCTAAGCCAAGAGGTAGCTCTCTGAGAGGACCACAAATTACCAGGGGTTTGTTAAGGGCTGACTGGAGCATAGACAGCCAGTCTGCATGGATTGCGCTATGGCAGGCATTTCCCAAAGTGGAAGCCAAGGTCAAAACCAGGTATCACTCTTAGTCCAGGATAGTAAACCAAGGGTAGAGACAAGGTTGTGGTCAGGGCAAGCAGTTGATCCAGGCTGGGAGGTCCAAGACTCCAAGATCCAAGACAGGAACAGTAAGAAATAGGCAGAGGGGTCCAAACCAGAAGTTCAGAGCGTGAAGTCAGGCTTAGGAGTCCCAAGCAGGCCAAATGCACAGAAAGGTGGTATTATGCCCAGACACCTTCCCACTTACTGTCTAGTCTGAATTTATATAGGCCAATGTAGGCAGGGCCTCTTCCTGAGGGATGGCTCAGATTGTTTCCCTGATTACTTCCAACTTAGATCTGAGACTGGATCTGCCTCGACTGGACGTCAACTCATTGCAGGGCTCATGGATCCAAAGGCCAAGTCTCAAGAGTCCAAGAAGTCAAGGGCTCACCTTGTCTAGAAGCTATGTTTGAGCTGGCTTTGGGTGCACTTCAAGAAACTGTGTAGGGCTGCAGATCCCAAGAAAGTACTCCTCTGGGGCATCTACAATACCTTCTCTATCCTTCTTCAGCAGCTTCCTGGGTCAGAGTGCTGCCACCCATTTTCCTCCACCTCCTGTCCCCTTTACTATCCTCCACACCTCTTCAGGTTCCCCCAGTTCCCCACCACCCTGGCCTCCACAGTGCCCTTCTCTCCTCCTTCCTCCTTCTCTCCTCCAGCAGGGTCTTACCTGCTTCTCATAGCCCCTGTTCTACTCTACGCTGACCACCATCATCTGACAGCTCTTTTGTTTGTGGCCACAACTTCTATCTCCATGAAGCAGAGGGAACTGGCTTACACCTTTGTTAAGGGCAGCAGTATCCACCTCAGACCACTTCCTTGGCCTTCCTTGACTATGGGCAGCCATCTAGGATGTTAGAGGGGCCTAGCTTCCCCTCTCCATCCCCTCCAGTCTTTTCTACTAAAACCAGTCAGAGATTCTCTGCACTTTCTTGCTGGAGTAAATTTCTATTCCTAGCTGTTGGCAGTTTTTCAAACTACTTTAAGAGTATCTAAATATAGTTACAGGAGGTACATTCCTATTAATGTACTTCTCTTATAGTTGCTGAAAATAAGTGTGAAAGAGACTGTCTGGATGAGTGAAATCCTGACCCCATTTAAGTCATTGATGATCTTCTGAAGTGTCTTCAGTGTATCATCAGGGAAATAGCTCTGTCAATCACAAAAGGTTCTTTAAGCGGCTGTTTTAAGTGGTTTTCTTAGTGAATTGACCCTGAGGAACTTAGTTATTATTGCTCCCATCCCCACATCTCTCTTCAGAAAACCTGCTTATGAAGACTCTTCAACTAGTTACCTCT